GGAGCTGGGACTGTTCAGTCTTGAGAAGAGACAGCAGAGGGGACCTCATCAATATCTATAAGTATCTGAAAGGAGGATACCAAGAGGATGGAGTCAGGCTCTGGTCAGTGGTTCCAAGCAAAAGCACAAGAGGCAATGAGCAGAAACTGATGCACAGGAACTTCCACCTGAATATGAGGAAGAACAACTTTACTGCATGGGTGACTATGCACTGGAACAGATTGCCCAGAGAGGTTGTGGAGTCTCCCTCACTGGAGATATTCAAGAGCCATCTGGACGCAATCCTGTGCAATGTGCCCTAGGATGGCCCTACTTGAGCAGGAGGTTGGATCATTTGACCCCACTGGAGTCCCTTCCAACCTCACCTATTCTGTGATTTATTTCCGGTTAGTCCTTGCCACAGGGTCTGCTGTGGAAAAACTGTGGACCCTGTGGACCCTTTTCAAATAATCAAGATGACATATTCTCTGACACTTGTCTTGGAGAAGAAGTTGCTTGAATAGGGAGCAATTACTTACCAAACCAACTGGTGGAGATCTAAAACTTAAAACCAGTTGGTTTATGCAGAAAAAAATACATTGAAAGCAACAGTGCCCTGGAGAGTCATGGAATGACAGACATGTCTGTGGTTCCAAAAAACTATTCAAAGGAGCAAGGAAACTGCAGAGCATTACATTTTGTTTGTAGGTGGTAACCTCCTTGAAATGGAATAATAAATTACCAGGAAAACAATGATATTCTAATGCTAATGCTTTTATTATTATTATTGTTATTGTTAATGCACTTTGAATGTATTTATAGGACTTATATGAACATCAACAACTTGGTTAAAAATTTGTTCATCTCAGAAAGGGTTATTAACATTAAAATCTAAGCAGTCATGTGGGAGAGAAAGGATCTTTGCAAATCACCAACGGAGCATAAGTAATGGCAAGATTCTGTCTATCTTTCTTATGAAATATGACTAACTGTAGGTACCTCAGTCTTCTTTTAATAAATTTATTGATGGTTTGTAGACTGAAATGAATACTGAGGCTTTAAAAATCATCAGGTGATACAAATCTAAATGTAACTAAATGGAGGAGAAGTGCAGGCTATTCAGGCACCCAGAGGAGATGTGACATTAACTGTGTCAGGAAGGTCAGCTTCTAGGATTGTGGCAATACACTGAGATAATCTCTTTACTGACTGCAGGAGCAGCTAGACAGACAACACCAGTCAGCTGGATGATGAAAGAAGAAGAATAATACTAAAGCAAAAATATTGTAGTCCAAGCTATCAAGCCAGGCCAGATGTCTGTTTCTCAGCACATGTACCACATGTGCATGTGACTGCTTTTGGTCACAAAAAACAATCGTGCCCCAATCCGCTTTCCAGCTTGATCTTGTCTTTCTTTTCACATGCACTAATCTTAGTTTTCCCTGGCTCATAACCACAATATTTTTGCTTTAGTATTTTATTCTTCTGCTTTTATCATACTGCTATCCGGTGTTGTCTTTTAGCTGCTCCTGCAGTCGGCGAAGAGATGATCTCAGTGTATTGTCACAATCCTAGAATCACAGAACCATTTAGCTTGAAAAAGACATTTAAGAGCACCAAGTCCAACTGCTGACCCAGCACTGCCAAGTCCACCATTAAACCATGTCCTACATCTACATGTCTTTTAAATACTTCCAGGGACGGTGATTCAATATTTAAATAAACAAAACAAACAGGATGATAAAACACACTGAGGAACTGTTTGGAAAACAGAGTAAATGAAAGATACCTTTGTGTAAGTCTGTGACACAGTCTCATTTTGGAGGTCAAAAAATAAAATTTATGTAAATGAGGCATCATAGAATGACACTCCAAATTCTTAGGAGCATAAAAAACTTGCATAAAGAAAGATTGGAGCTGTTCATTGGGGAAAGGCGGGGATGGGGATGAAAAATAAAAAGGTGTGGAACTATGCAAAATAATAAATTATATGAAGAGTAGTCCAGCAAGACCTATTTATGCTTTTTCAAAGCATAAAGAAAAGGTGTTGCTTACTGAGATTAAGTGACAGATCCAAAATCCAGACAAGGAAATATTTTTGCATTTCATATCTAATTAAATGGTAAATTCATTGCCACAGAATGATATCATGACCAATATTTTATCAAATCAAGAGAACTTTATTGATTTCTGATCACAGCTGTACGTGCTTTTTATTTTTAGAAACCAGAGGGACGCCCAACTTTTGAAGAGTTGCTTCATGCAATCATTGAGATTGCAGAGGGTGAAGATGCTTTCTGAAAAAAGACAAAAACAGCATAAGCACAGAAAAGAAACCACTTTCCAGAGATGGGGCTACATCATTTCTTTTGAAGAGCTTGATCCTGTAAGCTGCTGGGTGTCACTAAACAATGTGGGGAACCTGTAACATCTAATCCACTCAATCACAAAGGAGAGTTTCAGATGAAGTTGGGAAATGAGCACAGTGTCTTCAGCAATATCTGCAATTTCTGTATTTTCTCTGAAAAGTCACCTTTGCTTAGCTGGCAAGTTGAGCTCTTTATGGAGGGAGATGATGTGACTAAAGGTCAGGAGCCTTATTTACATTTAGTGGGTTGGTTTCATGTACATACAGTCCACGTTTCTGAGTTTCTCTTTACACGGGCAGTAGTATTAGTAGTAATTTGCATGCTTAAAAATGGAAGGTATCTATAAATTACTATTTACTGACATTGAAAAGTTTCCTGAAATTCTCCAGAAACATTATTTTTTTCAGTTGATGGATGTTTTATGGCACATCAAGAAGACAAAACATGCCTCTTTCATTTGCACATAGTAGGTTGTTGCCAGCACAGTCTTCAGTTTAGTGTAACACTCTAAAAGCCTTGCTTCAGAACTGAGCCGTGATATTCCAAAGTCATTCTAAGCTGTTTGGTCAACCAGAGACCTCCCATGGTTAGTCTTGATGTTACTGATGAAAACTAAGTCCAAGATTCAGCACAACTGGCTGTCAGTGTACCATAGTACCAAGTTTTAGATTAATTATAAAATAATTTATATGCTGTATGTAATGTAAATATATAAATTCCATGCATTTATTTATATAAAATGGGGGGGGGTGTGTCTTGAAATTTCACCTACCCTCACTTGAATACACAACTCTATATGTGGGATTGTAAATGAAATAAAGTAAATTCTCAGGTGTGTTTAAGGAGGGCTCGTCTTTCTGTCTGTCATCTGTACATAGAATGATCTAACTTTTCTGTTCATAACAAAAAATGTCATACTACATATGTGTGTAAATAAACTGAATGTTAACTATTGTTTGGAACCAATTAATTTTGTAGCAAATAATTTACTGTCAATGGATCATAAATCAAACTCATTGTTCCCATGATTATAGTGCTCTGATAGTCCATGTATGTATATATTTCTGTGTGTACACATACTCTATACTAAATACATAAATGGTAGAATGGATATATATTTAAATTTATTTGGCCATGGCGATATGTTAAGTGCAGAAATGCCTGAACTCTCTTCAGGAGTTACCTGCCAAGTCCCCTCTGCTAGAAGCCAGTGTCTCCACAGCCCTGCTGAAGCCTGTTTCAGTTAATCTAACTTTGTGCAAGTGGATACAAGGAGTATTTACACTCCACTTTTGCTGTAACTATCTTCTGAGTAGCTCTATTACATTTTCTTTTTATTTTGCTTCTTGTACCTTTGTGCCATGTATAATAGAAAATATATTGCACAAAAGCTTTTTAATTTCTTTTTCAAGTAGTCAGAGAGGAGCATCGTGAACTTTATTTCTGATCAAATTATTAAAGGTAACTACAGTTAGCTTAATGTATTCTGTCATTCTTGCATCTGAGTATTTCTGTAATCAGTTTTTGAGATGCTTAAATCCCTGCTCTGCTTTGCCTAAAACTTTATGTTCAAAAGGAGGAAGCCTCCTCTCTCTCAAAAGAAGGGCTTTCTTTTTCTCATGCTATTCCATTGAAAAGTTACAGACCGTCAGAAAAGGTTTAAATGCCTATGTCTTTTTTCTTCATGACAGAGTCTCAGAAGATTATTCCAACTGTGCAATCCAATCTGTCAAATTTTTCAGTCCAAACCATTCCCCGATCAATATCAACAGCATGTATTGTTAAGAGGGAAAATCTAGGGGTGTTCTACATGTAGTAAAAAAAGCAATGTGGAACATTTAATGTAAGCCAAGCTCATCTTTCCTTCCTTAACTACTCCTTTGAAGTTCACTTTCTCCATGGAGATCTTGCAAAGTATGGTGTTTGTCAACACTTTCAACAATACATCATGAAGAATTTTACAGTAGTAAGTAATGTTCTCCTAAAACACAAATGAGCCATAAGAAAAGCAGAAGATGAGTATTTCCAATGATCCTTAAGCCTGTTTCTTTACATTAATTAAATATTTATAATTAATTCGTATGATAAAACACACCCTGTGTGGATTTTTGGCAGCAGTTTTCTCAGTGGGGTGGGTGCTCTGAATCCAACACTTTCACTTGCCTCTTTGCAGTACCTGAGGATAATTTCTGCCTACCTGCTTTTGGATTTGATACTTGCTTAGGATGTCAGGAACTCTGAGGGACCCAGTTTATCAATGAATGCATTTTTTTAGTTGAATGTAGCCTTAGGTGTCTAATTTTAGAAAGGATCAGAAAACCTTTGGAGGCAGCTGTCTTGCTGACTCTCCTGATATTTTCAAAGGCAGATGGAAATGTGTCATCCTTTCTTCTGGATGAGCTCACTTAAGCAGCTTCAGTCCTTCCTCGCCTTCTTATTGTTGCTGATTTTTTTTCAAATGCTGGTGTCAAAAATCCATCTGAACAGAACCAAATGCTATAATCTAGTGTGGCTTTTATCATTTTTTAAAAAGAAATACTTGGACCTATGATAAGAGTTTAATAACTTTTTTTTTCTTATAAAATGTTCACTACTGGAAAACAGACACTTTTTTCTCTTCAGAGGCTTTTTTTTTTTTTTTTTAATAAAAGGTAATTAGGCGTACTCAAGCATTACTTGTGGTTTACCATGTTTCGTATCAGAGCGAAGAGCTCAACTTGGGCTGTTGCACTGGCACAGCTCACGAAGAGAGGTTTGCATTTTCATTTGAATATAAATGGATAACCATAAATGATCCTTTCTACCTGTAAGTAAACTTAGCTGCATATTTTGATCTTGCAGTTTTGTTTTGTGCAACAGCAATTGAAGTATTTAAATATTGCCACAAAAATACGAACCTGTTTTCTGCACTGCTAAGGTGATCTCTGTTCAGACTGCTTGTCTTGACGTTCAAAATTAATGCACAGATATTAATCCATTGTACAATGGATTCCACAAAGCAACTACTTTTACATATTAATAGACATTTCCACATGCAGTTCTTAAAAGCACAAACTGCACAGACATGCACAAAACGTTTGGTAGAACTAAAGCTCTCTTTCCTCCAGTGCAGACTTACAGGAAAAACAAAGCCTCAGCTTGCACATGTGAAAAGCTGGAAGCTTATATTTTAAATTGTTTTTAGCAAACTGTACAGTGGCTTTCTATCAGATTATTGATTTTTCTTGTACTGTTGAAAACTGACAGACCAGATCAGGAGGCACACCATATATTACAGCAAAGATCTGGGTTTGATGGGTGCAGCTGAGTTTGTAGTGTTGACTACAGTTAACTTGCTGCTTCGCTGCAAGAGCAAGAGTTTCTTGCAAAACATGCTAGAAGAGTACAAGCCTTCAGTACAACTGTGCAAAATTTGTGCTGCTCCTCTGGTCCCAGCAGTTCAGTTCAGTTCAGAGTGGCCTTATCTGGCCCATGTCCCTAGTGTAACCTGAGCTTTAACTTTTAGTCTGCAGAATTTATCATATCATATTTTGTGATCTTTATTGGATTGCACACTCTTCGCTTGGAAAAACTGCTCACCAAATGAAGCACGTGTCCGAGGAAGGAAACATCATGATTACAGCTTCAACCTATACCTTTTTTATGGTTTTATGGACAGAGTAAGAGGTCAAATATTCCATATTGTATATGCTTGGGAAATTTTTAAAATGTCACATACAGGCATTTATTGCTAATCACTTTAGCACAGCAAAAGGAGGGCATCAGACACAAAAAGCACCCATGAACGGAGCAAGTCTGAAATTCACTGAAGGTAAAAAGGATTCCTGAGCTTACACTATAAATGTATTCGAATTGCTGGGTTCATAAAGTAAGACAGAATTAAATGTCCATAATGTCTGTCTGAACCCTTTGTTTTCTGGTAACAGCTAAATCTTTAAAATCCTATTAGAAGTTTATTCTAGTGTTACATTGAAAGTCTGAAGTGCTGCTTCTAACTATTTCTGGTGTTTTATAAGAAAAAGAAATTATCTGATGAGGAGTAGTATATTTAACTAGACTAGATGTTTCAATTAGAGGAAACAAACAAGCTTTCAAATGCCATATTCCTGTTTGCAAATAACTAAATACTTCACAAACGTGGATTAAACTTCATGTCACTGGCTGAAGTAAAACAAACCCAAGAATTTTTTCACCCACAGTTTATGAAACACAGTTTTAAACGTCTGAGAGAAAGTTTGATGTACACTGGAAAATCATGCAGCAAATGAACTGCATTGCTTGGGTATTTTTAGTTTCTGCATTTTGCATAGCTGTCAGTGGGAACTTCTGTTAAAAATATTGATGATGTCTTCTGATTACTGTACGGTCACCAATTTCCCACGTAAAAGGTTCTTCACAGGATGCAACAGTCTAAGGGAAACTGCGTCACGACTTTCAAGACAGCCTAAACAAAAGAATTATGAGATAGATCTCTTCCAAGTAAGAACTGGAATTGGTCTTATCATTCTGACATCTGACGTTTTTGCTTCTTTTATTTGAGCAAGATTTGCTAAGTTGCATACTTTCATAGAGAAAATAATTACATTTTCATCATGTAGTAAGGTGGTTTTGAATGCTAGGATGCATACTCTCAGCACACTTGGCTTTTCAGTTGGTAACAGGCATTGGCAAAAAGTTTCACAAGACATCAGAAGGGACACTCTATTTATTCCAGGCTGGATTAGGTCACTGGGATCAACAGGACAAAAATGCCAGAAGGCAAAACCAAATAAAGTGGGAGGGACTGGTAGGACCACACAAAGAAATACCATGTTAAATACAAAGCAGTAAAATTCTGAGACCTTGGGAAACCTATTCCAAATACCTTTCTGAGGCCTCTTTGCAAACTATGATCTCTGTGGCAGAGAAAAATAGGACACACTGGAGTGGGATAAAAAGTTTATTTTTTGTTAGTGCAACTGAATATGAGAGGAACCTTGTCTCTCCAGCCTTGACTCTCATGCTTCTTAAGAGACTGTACATTGCATACAAGAGCTTGAGCCTGTCCTGCTGGTGCTGTTGCCCTCCCACTCGCCCATGGCAATGCATGATGGTGAGACAGTTCAGGGAGCTGAGCCAGCAGAAAGGGAGTACCTGCTGGTTCAGCATCCTGTCTTGCTGACGTTGAAATGAGATGAACAACAGTGCAGAGAGAAAGAGTATGGGACCATAACTGCTACAATTTGGCTCAAGCTGCTGTGGGAACACAAATTATGGAAAGTAGCTCTTAGTCTGAGTAGCAGAAGTCCAGATCAGATGTGAACCATTTATTTACCTTGTTCAAATCTTCTTAATGCCTTCTGACCTATTTAATATCATATCCTCCCTGCTGCACATGCAAGATATGTTGGATTGGTTTCTCTTTAAATGTTTGATGTCTGTGATGATGTATCCAGTGTATTTTTCTCTGGATTATCAGCCACTTGACATGTAAGAGTAAAGCATATATCTGTCAGCACTTTAAACCTGGGCTAATGCATTTATTAATAATGCATATATAATAATGTCTGCAACAGAAAATCAGTATTATTTCAAAGAATTGAATGAAGTGTGTCTCCTGTAATGAACCTTGCAATAAAGAAAAGCTTGTCATGCAAATGTTATTTTGTATTTGGCTTGAGTGATCTAAAAACTATATCAGTGCTAAAGCAGACAGTTCTCCACTTCTTGTCCCTGATGAGATTTTCATCCCCCTCGTTGCGCTGGATGGAGCTTGTACAGGGTGGTGTGATCAGTCACATCGGTACTAATCTGGCTGTCAAGGTCTCTTTTTTATCTTAGTTTTGCTGATTTAGTAAGATGATTTAACTCATACACGTGGCCTCATAATTGCTAAGATGTAAGGAAGGCAGTGGATGGTAGGAAAGCTCTGCTGTCTTTGGTGTCTGCAAATTCAGCCTTAATACTTGCTAGATATCTCACAGGAAGACAGGGCTAATAGTGGGGCCAAGCACATATGATAGTTCTTAATTCTGTAAGTTCTGCGAACAAACAAACAAACAGGAACACTGAAAATATGGAAAATGTTCACAGATCACAGCATCCAGCCTGTTTTCTGCTGCTGCTGCACAGTGCAAGAAAGGTATGTGAAATGCTTAAGCTTTTCAGTAATTATGATGATCAGAATATCTATACATAAAGAACTTCTTAAAATCCCTCTATTTTCAGCAGGAATGCAAATATGCAGAAGTTTAAAGACAGTGCACTCTACATATCCCTAATGAAGGAAGGCATGTACATCCTTGGATATTTTTATGTGAATATTTATAGATACGCATTCACATAAATGCTTCATGTTTGTCAAAAGCAGAGCAATGAGAACAAAAGTGAACCTGGATCCTGACACTGGCCTGGTGACCCACTACTCAGCCTCACAGCCAGATGTTTCCTACACATCTATTTGGAAATGCAGGGTAAGTCATGTTTCGGCAGGTGAAAAGAGATAATTGAGCTGATTTGACATACACTGGCTCAGCACCAGAGCAAGCTGGGGAGTAACTAACTCCTGAGTATGTAAGGTACTTTGTTGCATAAAAATTACAGAGTAAAGGTAACTGAAGATTCATACTGATGTAAATACAGGGTCACAATTAGGTTTCCCAAGCTTACTGTCATGAAGAAGGTGGTTCTTCGTTCTTCCTCCTACTTTTGGTTTTGGGTCACAGAGATGAAAAGGGTGGGACTGCCCTGATGGGCAGATGCAAGCTCACCTTGCTCAGCTGGTATGTGAAATGTTCACGTCAGTTTTACTAGATCTAACTTGAATTAATCTGAGTTTTCAAATAGTAGCTAAGTGCAAAGCTAGAACCTCCTCTGATGCAAAAGAAAATTACTATGTTTCTGCCAACTTGTTAAGAAAGTCTGCAGTGTTCTCTGTGTTAATTCTCCAGACAAATGACTGAAATTCCAGACATTGTGACTTTAATGCTGCTCTGCTTTAAACCAGCTGAGGAGTCGTCCCAGCATTCATACTGTGTAGAAGTCACCCCCATTAGGTAGATAGCTTATTTACTATTCACTGTACTTTCCATTACAATTTTTGCTTCTGCACCAACAAGAGGAAGTAACAACCGTGACAAGTTCCTCTTATTTACTGGGACAGTATAATAGCAGGGGAATTAAGCAAACAATAGTAGAGAGAAAAGAGTAGTTATGAAAGATACTTTTATTTTTCACCAGCTCAAGAGGCAATTGCAGTTTAAGAACAAGCCATTACCTCCTCTACCTGCCGAGGCATTGGAAGACTACACCAAGAAACCCAGAGTTATTGCACTCTATGATTTTTTTGCTAGAGGGCCTTCAGATTGACCTCTAAAGAAGTCAGAAGAACACATTATCCTTGAACAGTATGATCCCCACTGGTGGAAGGCAAGAGACCAACACGGGTAAGAGAGTGGGCATCTATTTCAATCTCCCTACACAGAAAGAAAAAAAGCCTAAAAAGCCTAAAACAACCTCTGCAAAAGCAGGCGGATAGAATGAGATGTGAGATAATTTAGGGACAGGTTTGAAAGCGTTCATCTACGTATGAGGCACAAATGTTGACTGACTTTTAGCAGTGTTTGGCATCCCAGAAATGGACAGGGAATCTAGAATCTGCTGGGAATTCAGAGTTAGGCCCTAGACTCAGTAATTTCACAAGCAACATAAGGGTGTTTAAGGACCATGTGAATCACTGGGCTCTGAGCCATGTGCAAATCCAGCTTTCCATACTTCAAGTGTTTTACAATGGAATATGTGTGCGTAAACACTTTCTAAAACTATAGAGATTATGAAGACATGTGCCTGAAATAAAACCTCTGGCCCAAAATACCTGTGTATTTTAGAGAGCTAGATAACTTCAGTTAGGATCCTTTTCCCACTTATGTTTGTTTCATGTTATTCCCCTTTCTCCTTTGCATTTTCTTCAGTGTATCTGGTACTCTGGTGTTGGGAGGGGTTATATGTTATATAGTAACCATCTCCTTTCCATTCAAATTTCTCCTTTAAATACTTTAAATGCTTTTTTTCTCAACTCATATTTGTAGCAAAAGTATACAGATTGTGTTTTGTATATACAAGCAAGCACACACTTTATATTTCTTCATATAGAAGCATTGTTTAGGCCAGAAATGAAGAGGGTAGCTTCTGATTTAGAGGAAATATGTTTTTTTCCTAAATTTGCTTTTGATTTGACTTATTAGCATGCTGACCTCAGCACTCAATAAATACCTGTCTCAGCTGGGTTTTTCATTTGAGTAGCCATCCTCAGTTGTGGGGCAAAAAGGTTGTGCCTGGGATGAAAGGACTCAAAGTTGTATTCAATAGCCACTAGTATAAGGAACTCTTGTAATTCAACAAAAGGATGATGTATATCTTCATCCTATTAATACTTTACACTATACTAGACATTTTCCCCTATATACTGTTTCAGGAGTGAAGGTCTAATTCCCAGCAACTATGTTACTGAGAACAAGAAAAGTAATTTAGAAATGTACAAGTAAGTACCTTTGAAAATTATAATTGTGCCTTCATGTCTAAAAATTGATTGCAGTAATATATTTTAATGCTTAATCCTTCAATGTGTATTAGACACAAACATCTGTTCATCAAAACTCTTTTTTTTTTTTTTTTTGTAAAACATTATTCTTAGAATGAATTCAGTGTTTAGATTTGGAACTATTTGCTCAGAGATGGTAAAGTTACTAACACTGAGTACTTCAACAATGCTCATTTTCATTAATTGTAATGTCAGAACCCAGATGTTTCCTATTTCTGTAGACTTCATGCATAATGTTTCTGTATTCTGCTCTTTGTGTGTTATGACCATGGAGTTAGATCCAATGACTCCAACTTATTTACTGGAAAGTTAAATTCTGAAAAATTGTAGAGAAGAAAGTTTTGACACATCATCCAGGACTGTAAATTTCATCACAGTTTGGCATAACTGTTCCCTGGGGTTTCTTTTGTTTGAGCTAATATTTAATCACAGTGAATCAGGGAAAAATATTCTAAAAAAAAAGGTCTAAGAAAGTAATTCCAAATTAGGAGATGTTTATATACAGTGATGGTTCTAGATAGGTTTTTTGACTTGGAATAATGTAACTATTAATCTGTGAAACAAAGTAAACATTCATTTTTACTGTCTGAATAAAGGATAGGTTCTCTCCTTGTTGCAGGTGGTACTGCAAAAACATAAACAGAAGACAGGCAGAACTCCTCTTGTGCCAGAAGGTTACTCAGCTTATACACAGAGCTAACAGTACCTAGGAAGATCTATCAGTAGAGGATCAAGAGCATTATCACAGTCAAATCTTTTTGGTATGTTGTAAAAGTACTTTAAAATAAGAAAACTTTCTGGGGTAAGCATAGAGTGTAGACTATTCAGACTTCACAGAGCTTTAAATTGTATCCCCAGCAAATTCTATATAGATTTTCTATGCTAGATAAATCAGATTACATGTGGTTTACTGTGCTTGCATTAGACATTGAAGACTAAAATCCATGTAGTAAGCAAATTTAGTTAAGTTTAGCAGCTTAACAAAACCACTGCATCTTCCTTATATTCAGAGCAAACCATCCATATTGCATTCTACCCCCTTCAGTTACCAAGGTGCCTAACTCAGATAAACTCATTAGGTCTTTGTTTTAGGACTAACATGAGCCTGGGACAAGAAAGACTGGGGGAAAACATCTCAGACAGAACTGTTTCACAGTAGTTTTTTTCCTAGTGATTCGTGTGACTTGATTTTTTAATAAATCAAAGCATTTGCACTACTTCACACTGAAGATCATAATTCACCTAAATTATTTAACTCCAAGAAATTGCATGGCACTTAGTATTTTCCCTTGGTTAATTTTTCTCTGCTATATACCTGACTATCCATTCCTGTTCTCCACTGCTTTATCTCCCTCTCAAATAGTCATAGGTATTCCACAGAATTTGGTAGCTGCAAGTCCTATCTCAAGGAAGGATTATTCAAGCTCGAAAGTGGAAAATAACTCTACTTGGATTTCTTTTCAGTCCAAAGAAGTGCATTTGTTGTAAGAGATTCAAGTCGACAGAGTTGTCTTACGCTGTCCATGTATTCATGGGCTAAAGGGTGAGTTGCTCTGAATGGTTAGGGTTTGAATCAAGGGGTGATGGAAAAGCTTTCCCCAAACTCCTCAGAATAGTTGTGTAGGTTGGGCATGCAGTGCACAAGAGCAGGAAACCACTGGGGTGCTGTTCATGCAGAGTTAATTACCCTGTGCACAGAAAAGATGATGGAAGGCAGTGGATCTGGGAGTCAGGGCATAAATGTCCTGTCATGACAAGATTACCTGCACTCACTGAGATCCTCAAATAATCTGCTGTGGAAGCTGTGCATTTCACCCATGTAACATGAAGTGCCATGGCTACCAAACCACACTGTGAGAGCCTTTGGCCACTGCACCAAACTGTTTTCCTTCTCTGTAGGCTCTGCACATTGTAAGTTCATCCAAGACTGTGCTGTCCTCTAACTTCTCCCGCTTGTCTCCCAAAATCACCTCATCCCCTTACTGTGCAGTCTTACTTGTTTGCCAGACAACAGCCACAGGACTCACTTTTCCCCGTATCAGTAGCAACAACCTGCAGCACTGACTTATCCCATCTCAACCTGTTGTATACCCTTTTCATCGGCTCTCCTACATCCTCCTGCATCAACTGTGTCTGCTTTCCTTCTCTATCTCTTATAGCAAGCCAGAGATGAGAGGAGCAAAGCAAAGGCATTGCTGCTACCACCACTCTCTTCCTCCCTCCATCCCCTTTCTTGGAAAGGTGGAGTAAGCCCTCCCCACCACCTGAGTGCTGGGAAAAGGCTCACAATTTCTGTAGACTCAATAATGTTTCTGACAATGCCTCAATAATGTTTCTGTATTCTGATCTTTGCTTGCTGGGAACATATGACCACAATTTAGGGTACTAACCTTCAGCAACTACCTCCAGCCTGAAAAGCAAATTTAACTTCTTAGTTTCTTCACAGGAAGAAGGGATAGATGGACAGCAAAATATACAGAAAGCAAACAAGATGGATAATGTGAAGAAATACAGAAAAGCAAATGTACCCAATAAAACCTCCAGTAAAGAATCTTTGGAGAAGCAGAACACAAAATTTAATCTCAAGCTACACTTTAAATATGTTTTTAAGTTTTGGGAGAAAACAGGTAATTAGGAACATTTGAATTTAAAAGGTTATATTCAAATAAGTGCTAAATTAAGAACCTGAAAGTAACAGTGGGAAGAATTAATGAACACTCAGAATCCTTGGTGAGGGATGTATTCACTTGTAGTGCTGGCTCATGAATGCAAAGAAAATGAATGACAGACACGAAGATATTTCTTGCGATGGGAAACAAATCTGAGAAATCATGCTGGAAGATGCCACTTAGGTGGGTAATACAGTATCTTAGACTCATTTATTTAGGATCACTAGTGTCATACAAAAAACAAACAAGACTGTAACTCCTGGCTTTATGAAAGTATAGGTTTTTTGTCGTCAGAGCCCTATTGAATATTCTTTCTCCATTTCTTCCACTGCAGTGTTTTATCTGAAGAAGCTGTAAAGAAAAGTAACTTCAAGAAATAAGAAATGTACATCAGATTCCAAATATTTTTGTTTCAGAAGAGGTATGACATAGCATATTTTAAAATTAAGCAATTGGCTAACAGAATATTGTTGTTCTGTTTCCTACAGGTCAAATCAAATGCCTGCGATATCCAGTTGGATCAGATGGATGTTCTTCACCAGCAACGGCAGGACTGAATTATGGTAAATTTTTTGTCTTTGTTTGGAGGATATTTAGCTACCTACCTAGGCAAGAATTTAGGTTGTATTCACCCATAATTAAGCTGTATCTGTGAAATGTCTTGGTAATAAGAAACACATCAACAGACACATATTCACCAGAAACAGACACTCATTTCCTATAAGGTGTCAGTACTAAATTAGGCATCTGACTCAGTTGCTTCTGTTCAGTGACTGATGTGCTTCTCTTACAACTACCAGTGCATTCCAGAGCTATCTGGACTTTTCTAAGTGAACCTAAGATTCAAATAGACATTTAACAGCTTTTGAAATGCTACTTGGTTTATTTAAATGCTTAGGAAAATTGAAAAATAAAATTCGTATCATTTATGGGGAAGATTTTCTTTTTCGGTTCTGCAAGTTTTAGAATAAGAATGGAATCCTACATGGTGTTATTGCAAACAAGCTAAAAATGCCACTTTTGTGTATATAGGTCAGGAATTCCATACAATCTGTCTGATGACAAGAACTTCCAAAAATTGAGTGTCTTTCATGTTTCAAGAATCTCAAGCCTTAATATTTCTGAATGGTAGAACTATTGTGGTAATTAAAATAAAAGCAGCCAGTAACTATTTCTGTAGCTATACTATCCATCTGGAACTGTTCTGGAGCTAAAAACATCACCTATCATAATGCCAAAAAAGTTCTCATGTGCAGCCAAGGCTAAACACTTGCCTTATCTTCATGTCTCAGACATTCCTACATTAAGCAATTTAAACATTAATCAGATTCCAAAAGCTGTAAAATAATTTTAATTTAAATTTAAACGTATGTGAGCAAGTGGAATTCTTCAGATATTTAAAACCCATGCTGCATCTGATGAGCAAGTGTGATGCTTCGCTGTGTGCATGAACTGCAAATAGCAAGCCATGTCTCCTGGAGCACAGTTAGAAGGCCAACTGGAAAACTGGACTGACTCTTGTTACATACTGGGTTGCTTTTGTAGAGGAGTTGGGATTAAACCCATCTGAACTGATATTCATTGAAGAACTCGGGCATGGCCAGTTTGGAGTTGTTTATCTCAGTAAATGGAGAGCAACAATCAAGGTTGCCATCAAAACTATCATTGAAGGTGCAATGTCTGAAGATGATTTTGTGGAGGAGACCAAACTGATGATGTAAGTACAAAAGTTATTATATCTGGCAGTTGACCAAGAAATAAATATAACCTAGGTCCATTTAAACAAATAGACAAAGCAGTTTGGTGGGAATAGTGGATGTGCAGCAGAGAAAGACTGATATAAAGGTCTGAACTAAACTGATGCAGATGCTTCCTACGCCTATCATCAGGCTCTTTCTTCAGAGTGTTCACTGCTTTGTGCTGTGGAACAAAATGGGGAGTAAATGTTCTGATAAATAAATGTACTCCTACAACTACTTTTATATCCATAATTCAGTGTCTCTAGGACTACCAGCAGAGCTTTTATCTAACTAAAACTTTTGAGAAACTATATTATCATATCTGCAAATTTTGCAAATTAGGGAAAAGTATACACATAAGGTCTTGGCAAAGCCCAGATGAGAAGAACCCTTGTAGGGTCACGTCCCCTGCCTGAAAGCTGGGCGTTACTAGACCTTTCCATTTTGCATCAACTAAATTAAGCTTTGCATTCACTGGATTTATATAACTGATGAACAATTATGAGTAAACATTTTGGAGGAAGTTGTAGGCAGAAATGTGGTAGGTAGTGGGAGAAGTCTGAAGCCAGTTGAATTGGATACTGTTTATCGACTACTGAAAGTATTTTTCAAAACTATCATGAGAATCAAAGGTCTAGTTGCCTGCCAAGGACAAATTTTAGCCTGTCTAAAATGCAGTTTTAAACAGGAAACTCTCCCGCCCTGTCATGGTTTTGCTGGTTCTTAGAAACTAGGCAGGAATTTTTCCCTTCCCCCTGCCCACTGCATGGAGGGATGTTAAGTGGGCGCTTAAGTAACACAATATAAGCTGCCTCCTACTTAGCGGCCCTCAGAATCTCGTCTCCTGGGAAGGGAGAGTGAGGAGTTCTTTCCCACTTCTTTTTCCTCTTGTCTCCTGGGAAATGGGGGGGGGGGGGGGGGGGGGGGGGGGGGGGGGGGGGGGGGGGGGGGGGGGGGGGGGGGGGAGGAGTTCTGGGCTGGCTGCTGAAGCTGGAACAAGGTCAGAGTGTAAGCTCAGTCTGGCTGCCAGCTGTGGATTCTGCTTGGATTTGCATCAGGAAGGAACTGTTTTGGGAGGTTTTTTCCCTTTCCCTTTTCCTATTTGTTTCTTTCTTAGCAGTGGTTCTTGTGCACATCAAAAGGAGAAGGAAAACCATACTGCATGATTCAGCCAGGAGAACAGAGTGAGTTTTTCCCATTGGGGAGGACTTTTTTTGTTGTTGTTTCTCTCCCTCCTTTCTCTCCCCTTTCCCAGTGTGTGTGTGGGGGAAGGAAACCCATTTTCAGTTTCTCCAGCACATGCCTGAGGGTGTTACCCCCATGTGGCAATGACCAGTGATCCCATAGCGCCCCATGCTGACCAGCATAACAAACTGCAGGCTCTGCATCTCCGGTGATCCAACAGCACCCCCTGTTGACTGTGGTTAGAATTGCACCAAAGGGTGAAAACTGAACTGTTTACTTTTTTTCTTTGCTTGTTTATTGGTTTGTTTTGAAGGGGATTATTTGTGGGTATAGGAGTATTTTTCAGTTTTTTTACTTATTTCCTTTCATTGTTTCTGCCAATACACATAAATCTTTTTAATAAAGGGCTGTTATTTTTCCTTTTTCCACGTGTTTTTTTCCCTTCAATTGGAGCCTCTTCATTTCAGATTTACAATTGCTTAGAGGGAGGAGTTTGAGTCTTACTCACAACTCATCCTCAGCAAAACACATGTGTCTCATTTAAACTGAGACACACCCAAAGCTGGTCCAGCTTTATGGAGTGTGCACATATCAGAAGCCTCTCTACATTGTGACTGAATTAATGGAAAATGGCTGCCTGCTCCATTACCTTCAGCAAAGGCAGGGGAAACTCGGCAGAGATGTGCTGCTGAGCATGTGCAAAGGGATGTGTGCAAAGGGATGGAATATCTGGAAATAAATAACTTTATTCACCATGATTTAGTAAGTACAATAGGTTTTCTGACGGTCTTGACAAATATTTGCAGTAAAAAATGTGCCACTGAATTTTATGGGACACTATGCGTCCTGTAAGACTTCAGCCCTGCAGAATCTAATAAGACGAAATAAAACTTTTCAGCTGTTCTTTTGTCCATGGACAGCTCGAATAAAAAGAAATTTTTACCACTGGAAAAAAACACTTGAGACATCAGAGAAAACTGGGATATGGGCATGGAGCAGGCTGGTGTTAGGACATCCCAGTATAAGAGTGATCCAAAATCAGAGCAATACAAAAGATCAGCAACAATGAGGATTTTTAAAAATTAAATCTTTCTCTATCTATATTTTTTCAGCTCCCTACTGCCATACTTTGATGTTGGGATATGGATGGCTTTTCTGCCCTACCTCTCATGGGCAGGGAATCATCCGAGAGTAGCTTGTTTCTGTACTTCTTGATATTTATCCATGCTCACATCTGGATGCAGAGAGGAAATTTTCCTGCTCTCCTATCTAGCGGCCTGAAGAAATGAAAAATCTTGAAAATTTCCAAGGAGTCCTTGATTTCTGTAATTAAAAAGTCACAAAACACTTTTAAAAATTCACATTGAGTGTCCTAGTGCTGGTGTTTCAGGAAAATACCTGGTTGGATGACTAGACTCCAGCCTAAAATTCTTTCACCATTCAAGCATATGTGAACATATTGCAACTCATACTACATGCATTTAAGCTCATATGTACTATGTGTATGTTCCTACACAGAGGTGAAAAATGTTCACTGACTCAGAGCCAGAAATTCACTCATATTTTTGACCAATACACTAACCTTCTTTTAGATATAAACAACAGGAGCTCAAGCCAATATATTCAACTGCTATATTTTTCTTAAAACTCTTAAGCACAGATTTCAGATATGTTTCTCTCACTTTCCCCAGGCTGCAAGAAACTGTTTAGTATTCGATTTTGGCATGGCAAGGTACGAGGCCGCTGGCACAGGTTTCATGAGCACCTATTCTCAGACAGGTGCAGCATCATCTTGAGTTAACGTCATTGCTTGCTTCACTGGCGTGGATAATCCCACTGTGGTTAATTTTTGAATGCTGATAAAAATTGTAATGTTGTTTAACTATTGTACCATGAACTGGATGTCGTGTCCTTTTCTTGCTCTTGGTGAATGCAAGATGTGTAAACAAAGCACCAGATGGGTAAACAAACTTCAGAGGTGTTTATGGATAGAAAAATGCCAAGGGTACACAGGGCTTGAAGCCAGAAGCTTGAAGAAAGAAGTTCTCCCGACTTTTCTGAGCAGGGTGGAGGACAGAAAGTTCCTAGGGACAGAACCAGGAGCTGGTGATGAGCTTTTCAGGCAGCTGTGGCTGAGTACGTGAGACAAGATGCAGGGAGGGCAGGTTGCAGGGAGGGTGGTCAGGAAGTGTGATGCATGCTGCTCTAGCAGGGAAGTGGTTTTTCTGGTTAGTGATAGCACCAGCCAAAGTGGGGAAAGAAAGCACACTGTATTCTGACAAGCACTGGCCAGAGAAACGTAGCTCTGCCCTCACAGTCTTCCCTCTGAAAACATGACGTGTTTTATAGCTGAGCTGATCAAATGACTGACTGCTCCCCAAAGGGGTTGTCTCCTTCCTTCTTTCCTCTTGCAAGCCCAACAAAGCTCTCCACTTTTGTGTTTTACCGTTAGTTTTTTCTGCAGAATTAGTACAATGAATGAGCTCACTTAGAAGGCAGATGAACTTGAAAGGCAGTGAGTGGCTCAGAGCAGGAGGTGGTGGTGACATCTACCTTGTGGCTACAAATCATGAGATCAGCACAACCATGCTGCTTACCTTTAGTTTTGCCTCCTGTTTCTAACCTCAGGCTTACAACCCCCTAGCATTTCATAACTAAATACTTGTTTTTCACGGGGCTGTCCTGTACCATGGTTGCCCTGTTGTCCAAAAGGGTAAGGTCAGTATTTTGGGTTTGAACTCATCCAAATGAGTCAGAAAACACACTAAGAGACCAAGGGGCTGTCAGGGTCCAATCTAAGAATAATGGACCTGAAAGGCTCCCTGTTGCCAAAAAGTGGAGATCAGTGGTGTGGCTCTAGGACTGGTTCTCACTCTCCTGGGGAAATTGTGAGGTGATGCTAACACAACCTAATTATTCAGAGCTCACGCAATTGCCACTACAGGTTATTTTGTACTGCTATTTCATATGTTCCTTATTCAGTAGTCTCCCATATTTCTATGCCTGCACCAAAATGAGAAAGTGAGTCAAAGAGATGATTTCTTTCAAGTGACGTCCTTTAAAAGGTGCTTTAAAAGATGATAAAGCATTATGCTCTCCCTGAGAACTGCACATCTGTTGTCTGCTCAGGAATGTTAATACCAACAAAATGTGCATAGAGTTTGTCAGTGTGTAGGGGTCAGACTAGTAACCTTTTAAAGTGTTGCCCTATAAATGCCTGCATTAGACACATCATTCCATTTTATCTGGGAGATTAGCTCCTATAAGCTTGGGCAAAAAAAATTACTTTAATGCTATAAAAACTGTTGCCTCAAACATTTCTTTATGTGTTGCTTTGGTAACAATGTCCCAGATATTACATCTGTGAAGATGGGCAGTGACTGTAGTATTTGGGTAGAACGAGTGGTTGGAAAGATGGATCCTGTTAAAAGAGGACTAAGTATTGCTGCTGGTTTTCCTGTCCATGGTGTCCTATCAATATACACCCAAAAGATGACAATAACAACCATCCTGTCAGTCTTACAGAAGGTATCAATATATTTTCTTCCAACATACTTCTCTTGAACAATCCAAATAATTAATTTAAACAGAAATCACTTTAAGCGCATAGCTTTCAGTATTGTTTTCTGTGGACATTTTATACTAAATTAGTGTTACCATTTCCTTGCTTCTAAATTGACAGAGTATTTTTATTAAATTATAAACCCTTTATGGAAATGTCACTCATTCAAATATATGAAGTTTCCTCTCATTCTTTAGGTACGTCATTGATGACGATTATATTAGCTCTTTAGGTGCCAAATTTCCAATCAAATGGTCATCTCCTGAAGTCTTTCATTTCAAAAAATACAGCAGCAAATCAGATGTGTGTTCATTTGGTGAGTTGATTAGGTGCATACACAACATATTGCGCTTCCCTAGAACTACTGGTTTGATTTAGGAAGTGTAGCTTTTTATTCATGCTACCTATCTTAAGCTGCAGTACTTCCCATTTTTAAATCTTGCTTATATTTGACAAGTATGTTTTTCAATGGAAAGGCTCTGTGCCTAAAAATTAGATTTTGCACTGAAATGTGCATTCTTAGTAAGTCCCCATTAACCAAATGTATATTTTTCTGAGTTTCATGGACCACAACCTTATCTGACTTAAAAGAGAGCAGAATTATATTAGTTGAAAATGGTTTTGATTGTCTCCTGTTCATGTTGCCCATATTTTCATGCATTTTTCAATACACAAAAGATCAGGAGTGTTTTTTGTTCTCCTAATGTTAAAAACTTGTGGGCTTGGCATTTTTTTGTTTTGTCCTAAACCTTATATTTTGGTTCACTTCTAGGTGTATTGATGTGGGAAGTTTTCACAGAAGGCAAAATGCCTTTTTGAAAAGAAGTCAAATTCTGAAGTTATCTATGAAATTTCTCATGGTAACTGACTTTATCAATCACATTTGGCATCACATACTGTATACAGAGTCATGTACAGCTGCTGGTATGAGGTTTGTTGCCCTTTTTTTCCCTGTGATATTACTTTATTATTAATTTTCAGTATGGATATAAAAGCAATCTCTAATAAATGGAGGCATTAAATCCTTATTTCACGTCTGTGAAATCCTCGGTATCTCTGATTATGTTTTTTAAAAATCACACCTAAGTTTACAAGCCTCTCTTCTTTTGACTGTTGCAGCTAATAAATATAAAGCACACTATCAGTTCAATAGGTCTAGACCATTCCTGGGTTTGAATATGCCACTATTGCCTTGCTTCTCTACTACATTCAGTGTGATACCTTTTTCACTCCTTTGTATCGTGTGTAGCTTTCTCTAGCTCTGTGCTGACCTTAAGACATCCATATACAAAGTGGATATGCCCACTAGATATAGATTTTGAACTCTCTTTTTGAGATGTACATCAGTATCTCTGTATATCACTACAGTTTCTAGGCTGCACCCCTTCCGCCCTCTCCAAGCTGATCTGGTACTTGATGTTCTTTCTCTATTTCTCCTGCTCCTATTTCTTCCTAAATTGGTATCAAAACACTGATTTCATCAACTTCTCCATATGATTAATCTCTTAAGGTTCCTCCTTCTCTAGTCTCTACAGGAAATGAGGTTGCTCCTTTATCGCTCACCTTTTAACTCTATATTAAACTTCTAAACCCTAAGTAAAAAAAAGGTTAAGAGACAAATCTAAATTGTGTCTGACTTGCTTGTTTATCACAAACATCCATCAGGATGCCAGCCAGCAGAGAGAGGATGGGGAAGAAGTTGTCCCCTCTGTCTACCACCAGCAGGAGTTTGCTCTATACTAAGCTGCACATTAAATAATACAGCCAGGAAGACCCTATTTCAACAACTCAGGAAACATTCCTGAGTATCATGGTTTCCTGAAAGGTAGGGCCATCCATAGACCCACTGCAGGGGGAAATATTATAGGAATTCCGATCCAGAATTGAAACGAGTATAAAGAAATTCCAGGAGTTTTTGGAAAAGTGCCTGTGCTCATGTTGCTGGAGTCATGAATAACAGACTATTTTTCTCTCTCAGATGACAAACTTGAACTTTTCTTCTGCATTAATAAAATAAAATGTAATTTTTAAATGGTATCTCACATTTACTTATAACTGTCTTCTTAAGTCTGGTATTATAATTGACCAATCTGCTAATATAAGTTTATCCTCTGCTTTTCAGAAACCTGAAGGATGTCCTACTTTTGCAGAGTTAATAGTGACTCTCACAGATCTAACAGAGATGAGATAATCACAGATTTTATACCAATATATTTACTGAAAGGTTAGCATTAAGCATGCCAGTAATGCAGCTGGTACAGAAAACCTTTCACAGCGATCTCTACTTAAATCACAGTACCAGCATCCTACATATCGAAGCAACTGTTAAGGCTTGGCCTAATTTTTACTCATTTGAGAAAGATACTCCAGGAGCCTTGCTTTTGGACTCACAAGGCTTTTGTTTTCATGATGAGGGAGAACAATCTCCTGTCTGAAAAGTAGTAAGCAAGCCTACTAACCTCATAGGCCTTTATATTAATTCTTTTGCTCAGAGCTACACTAATTCTTGTAAAAATGTTATTGTTTGGTACTTACTGTGACTCATGCACTGGGGAATACCAAGTGAGAGCAGTAAAAATTATGGAAGAACCTCTGATAAAGCTTTAGCTTGGTCACGTTTAAAGGCAAATCCTTGTGCACTGCAAAGCATGCAGCGCTGAAGAGACAGAGCAGTGTTTCAGAAGGGACATGGAGCTAACTGACCGACTGCTGGAGCAGTGCCCATGTGTGCCTCTTCCCCCTGCTGTGGATACAGGCAGGCAAAGGGAGCAAAAGGAGCACTACTCATGTAGCAGCTCCCAAGTCACACCTGAGTAGCTGGAAAGACTGAGCATTTTAAACCTGCACTGCAAGTCAGTTTGTCTTCTCTATCAATTCTCTATGGAAGGAGTAAGGATTATTTTATTCCAACCTCTCCCACAATTTTTAAGTATTGTCTCCCACTCCTCTCTGCTGTCTACTCAAATGTCACTCTTGCCTTAGTTCTCCCCTTGCAAGTGTCCAGAATACTTAATGGGCAAGTCAGAACTGGAACCTGACAATAAAACTCAGATGGATCCTGTGATACCTTACAGATACCTTACCTACTTCTTAAGTTATTATTCACTTTTAATTTTAAATCTTAATTGTGGTCAATAAAAACATGCTATAGAGCAGGAAAAGCAGATGAAATTCATCAAAATTTAAAATCAAATAGACCATTACAAATAAATATGCTCTTTAATATATGTGACTGTGTTGTGAACTATTTATAAATATATTACAATATTTAGTTTTACAGCATTTAGTAGACAAAATATGTAAAACATGCCAGAATGATTGAGGTCTGCACAATTTAATTTTTAATTTCCAAATTTCTAAAATATAACTATAACAATAAAATCAAATATAGAAAATAACCACAGTTTTGAATTTCCAAAAGATGACAGCATCTCTGAAACAAATTCAGTCCTGGCATTAATCAGTCATCTTTACTGCAATAGTATTTTGATAGTTATCATTCCTTGGGAATATGCAAGTTGATCTGTAATACACTGCAGTATTGTGCAGTAAAAAGCAGCTCCACTGTGTTTATGTAATCAAAGCACCTTGATCATGCCCGTTTCACTGAGCTGCCCCGTGGTTAATATGCACCCATCCTTGAAACACGTTGGTCTAATACACAGAGCCAAAAATGCTTGCCTACCAGGCTTCCACTTCTCAATAAAATCTTTCTGTAGGTAGCTCTGGGAAAATTATGAGCAGGCTGTTATTAATATTCAGATAAATTTAATAGCTGCTATCATCAGGCTGGCAGTAAACAAATGAAAACGCACTAGAAGCTACTTCAGAGTCAGTGAAACTGGCGCCTCATTGTCAGCAAGAAAGGTCTACAGGACAAAGGTCAGGTATCTACAGTGTAATTACTTCCTGGAACAGCTACACCCATAAATAAAGACTGAGTAGGCCACCTTAGTCCACATGGCATCTGTGAGCTTAGTTCAAATTCTAACCGTATTCAAACAGGCAAAAATGGGTGAACAGTGAGAGCAACCCTTGTCACTGACCACAAAGAGATGTCCGCTAGCTGTTTTTTTAAAACAAAATTTTTTGTGATAAAAATGAGACCCGGAAGAGCAGTAAAAGTTAGAAAGAGACACTATAACTCCTCCATAAAGGAAAAGTCTGGTCAAAGGCTGTGAGTGCTGAGCATTTGTAAAAAATTAGCTGATGCTTCCTGACCAAACACCAGAAAACCTGAGCAAGTCTGTATTACGGATGAGAGGAAAAAAGCAGAACTCAGAGATTCTGTGATCCAGCACTTAGGCTGGCACTTTTCTATAAAAAACCCACACTGTTGACAAATTGAAATGTATTTTCCGAAAGTGAAATTACTTTCCTTGTTTAGGTACTCGTGAGGAGCAATGCAGATCAATAATTTGTGTGTACAGGTCTGGTGACACTTCTCTCCAGTGCCTTTTGGTTTTCAGACCAACTCCTCAGTCTCCTGCCACCCTAAAGTTTCACAAACAGGGAGGCCCTGTAGACACTAAAGCACATCACCACCAGCACTCCTCCCCCACACACCACCAGCCTGGATCCTGCTCAGCCTCCCAGTCTTGTTCTGAACCTCAGCATAATTTTAAAACTTGCCAGAAACGAGACAGCTGTGGTAAACCTGCTTTGCTGGAGGGATGTTTTCTAACACACTTGCCAGTGGTATTTTGCAGGTATTTAGACAGTGAGAGAAGGACGTTTTCTAGAAGTATGTAATTTCCCATATAGCTCCAGGATACAACTCTGATGAGTTGATGTTGAAGTTTTGAATCTGTACTCTTTGGGATGAAAATTTTTTGGAGCATGGCTCTTTCAAGTGTGGCTGGAAAGGCAGGTAGAGGAAGATGGGAGAACAGATTTCTACAGAAACTAATAACTGGTGTATCTCCTTCTACACTTAGACAGATTATTTAACCTATTCAAATCTTTTTGACCTACCTACATTTAGTCAGTGCAGCTTTGTAATGAACTTAATTGCCCATTAATTTGTCCTGAGGTATGGTAATAATGAGTAGCTGCCAAGATTTGTTTTGTATCAGCATTTAAAAGCCATAATTTTGATAGCAACGTATTGTCTCTGAGGTTTCTTTATTCTGGTTCTTAATCACTCGCCCTACTTACCAAAACACTTTTAATTACTTCTGGAAAACCTGACAACCCGCTGAAATACTTTCCATTGTGACTGGCTGTGAGAAAGAGATGCCTAATACATCAGCTTCAGGTTTTCTTCTCTAGTTTAAAAATAAGAATTACACTTTTTTTTAATCCCTTTTTTAAAAAATACAGATAATTTAGTATATAATTCATGAATAATTTATTACAAGATAAGTATTTACATAATTTCACTAAAAAAATCAAAGTTATTCCAAACTAATAACTAAATAGAAACACTTAAAAAATAACATCTCCTACAGCAAACTTTTTTTATACAAAAACTTAATCAGTAATTTACTTCTTAACATGATAGACTTCCTGTACACCACGAAACTAAGGTTTTCTGACATTATAAGAAAATAACATTCTTTTACTAGTAGTTGTTATTTAAGTGTAAAAGCACATAGACAGGTCCAGTAGAAAATAACAGAATTTTTGCTTGGTACAAATTAATTGACTGTCAACAGTTGGTATAAAGAACGTCCAGATCCTCCTCAAAGGAATTATTACTACCTCTCTTTAAAAAATGCCAATACATTCATTCAAGAACTGGACTTTTTCTTACTTATAACCATTTGGTCATTCCACAGTGATGACTGAATAAGCAAATAAAGGAGCCACAAGCTATGCAAAAGGATTATTTTTCTCTTTTAATGTAAATATTTTCTTCAGTTATTCTTTAAATGGAGTAATTCACAGTGAAAAGCAATGCAAGCTTTTGTTAACAGACAAACTGTTGTATAAACTCCATCTTCCGTCTTTTTATTATTTGCATTACCTGTTTTTAACTATAAAGATTTTCAAGCTTGAATCTGGCCAATAAAGCCAAAGTATCCTCGACATTGAGTAAGAAGTAATGAAACCCTGTTTGTAGATTTTCTTCCTTCTTTGACACATGCATTTTAATAGCAAAGAATTACTCTAAGTCTCATCACTTAAGAATCTGAAAAATATTCCAAAGCATCATTAAAAATAATTAACAAGTAAGATGTGCCATGAATATCTTTCAAAAAAGGAAGTACTGAAAGTTTGCACAACACAAACATGTGGAATATCAGCAGCAACCCTTTTGTTCTTACATCTAAATTATGAGCTTTCTTTGGTGGAATAATGTGATATCCATCCAAATTGTTCTCTTCTACTACACTTTTTGAACACTGGAGAACATCCAGCCCGCTTCATGAGGGAGTTTTGCTTGGCATATATATATGATTAAAAACCACTGAAGTGCTAGTAACTCCTGGAAAATGTTCTGGACTCACACATAAGAATCCAAAGATTAGGAATATTATCTTTATGGTGAGCTCATAATGACCCATACATCCGATTGATGAAGCTATTTTCTTGCTCACAAAGTGGAAAACAAAAGGGATTGTAATGAGTAAATCAGGCTGTGCAAGCTGTTTTTATGAGATAAAGATCGGTGACCAGAACTGAGGAGCATTCTGTGGTACAGATACCAGTCTTCTAGCCTCGGGTAGATTATCACTCTGCTAAACATTTAATAGAGGTGAAAACTCATTTTTAGAAATGACGAAAAGGGCAAACTAAAAAAAAAAAAAAGGTGTTTTGATGTTTTTCACCCCTTGTTTACAGCCCATCCTAGTATTTTTAGAAATAGCGCATGGTCTGTAAAATTGATTCTAACAGAATATAAAATATCAGGACTGTTCTATCATTAATATAGAATGATACTGTTCCAGAAAATGAGAAAAAAAAATAAAAAGCTTAAAGGGGTTTTGATGGGCAATATTAGGAAAATGTAAGGAAATTAGTGGAGCCCATTCTTAAGCCTCAAAGTAATATAAAACAGAGTACAAATTCTTAATTGCACATTCTGTTTCTCTTCTGCCTTTGAATACTTTAGTTTTTTAATCTGATGTAATTTTTAAGGTAGCAGCAAGTGTTTTCAAGCCTCTAATGAATTTTCTTCTTCTTAAACTTCATCTTAAATAAAAAGATACAGGCATATTCAGGGATTTGCAATCCACTCAGGATTCCCTGGGCAGAAAAGCTGACACTTTGCTGTTAAATAATGGATTTTAAAGGAGATAGATTACCAAAAACTGTATTTGACAAATTTTTTTCATGACATCTACTCAAGTTTCGTTGGTAGGGGATCAAAATGGAAAAAATCTTGTATAAAATTTTATATTAAAGGCTAAAAGGGTTAAACACTGTTTTCTTCATATTGTGTCTCCAATGAATATCCTTCATTTAGAATATCTACATGACTGCTTGGCAATAAATTACAAAAATATAAAGAAATCCTTAAATATTAAGGCCATCACTAAGATAATAGCAAGGTACTTGTCACTTCAGCAAGTATTATATTTTATCATTACAAGAAAATTGCATTTTGTAAATGTGGCTTACCAAGACTATTAATTTTTTGCTAAAATTCTCTGATAGGAGTTGCTGCATAAAAAAAGGACAGTGTTTTTCATTGCCTAACACACGATCACCATCATGTTTTTGTCATATTAATTACTGAACATTTTCATTTCATTCATTACAACCAACAGCTGACACACAGAGGAGTGGCCCACACTCAACAGGCCTCACAGACCATTCTCTAGAGGACTGCAGAAAAGAAGAGCATTCTAGTAAACATGGGTGGGCTTCATCAGCAACTCACGATTCTTTGATGATGAGCACTGCTTAGAGAGTTTCACTGACTGAACAAAATGTTGTCCTCCTCATACACCAAAGCTGGATCTTCCATGCTCCCTAGTAAAGTGTGACTGGTTTCATATTTACGGCGTGTTGGTGATGGTTCTTTGGCAACAGTGGACATCAACTGATTCCAGGTGATGTTGGTATTTTTGAAGGCATGCAATAGGAAAATGCCAATGAGGATACTGCAGAATCCACTTAGGGTTCCAATGATATCACCCAGTTGCATACTATTCCACTCCTTGAACAAGATGATGGAGCATGTCACAGCTGTCGTAGTGAAACACACGTAATAAATAGGTGTCACTAGAGATGTGTTGAACACGTCCAGTGCTTTGTTGAGATAGTTGATCTGAGTGCTGACTGAGAGCACCAAGGTGCCCACCAAAACGTAAACCAGCGGATGTCGATAAACTGGCTTCTGCTCCAGCATTTGTTTAATGGCAATGCCCAGGCCTTTCACAGATGAGACAGAGAAGGCACCAATGAGTGAGCAAATTAAAATGTAGATCAATATGTTTGTCTGACCTCTCTTTGGAGCCACGATAAAAATCAGGACAACGGTAACAACTGTTATGAGAACAGCAAATGTGACAAATGCTGTAAGAAAGAAGAAAGGGAAAAAGAGTAATGCACATGAGGTAACATACCAGAACTACGTCGAAGTACATAAAAGTTCTTCAGAGTCCTGAACACTTACTCTATGAACTGTAATACACGCTCACTACAATTGCATACAGACCTGGATCTTGCAGCTTTCTTTCCATTTCATCTAGTGAGGTGACCTCTTCCTCATCTGGGGCGTGAATAACCATGACTGTTGATCCCAAAACACTCAGTACACATCCCAGCTTTCCATGAATATTCAGCTTCTCATTTAAAAAATAGGATGACAATATGGCGCTGTTTGCCAAAAAATAAACAAAAGGTTCAGTTCCACCAGCCACACAAGACATTCAAAATCTGTCTGTGTAGCATGACAGCAACTCAAAACCTCATTTGAATTTGCATATATGGTCAATTAGTCTGAAACAATCATATTGTAAGGAGTTTTGCAATAACGTTGGTCATGACCAAGAAGGTCAGGTCAGGTTTTAGGGAGGTTAGCAACCCTGATCACTTCCCTCCAGGTTGCAAAGAGTACAAATTGCTCAAGAAATTTCTCATTCCTGATTGCCTGGGCCAGGGGTATGCACTTTCCCATACCTGTAGATTAACCCCATGAGCTGGTTTCTTTCATTCAAAAATGGCTTGAAGCACTTCATTTGACATCAGAACCAATTCACATGAGTTTTGGAAACTGCTCCTCATCCCTCCCTGGACTCTCCCACTGAGGCACAGTTTCTGTCTGGCACATCTCCCCCTCTGAAGAGGGCTGACCCTAGTATCTTTAAGGTATTCAATATTTAACCTAAGGACAATAACATGGCCTAAATGAGACCACGTCACAGGGCACAATTAGCCTGTTAGAACATAACCTTGGGCACAGACACAGGCTTAATGGTGTGTGGACACGCTTCCAAATAGCTTTTCAATCCACTGATCAAAATACAGACATTTCTATTACACAAAGGTAATAAGTTCACTGGTATGAAGTTCTCATGACCTCTCTGTTTCATGAAATTTGGAAAGATTGCTAACCTCATCAAAGGAGGGGGTAATAAAACTCAAGCTGTTTTGCAAAGCAGCAGCCAGGCAGTCAGTTAATCTGCATCTACCTACATGCTGATTCCAGCACGACTGGGTTATATTAGTTTTGCTATGATGGAATGGCTGCAGTTTTAGCAGTTAGATTGTTGCAAGGATCTTGTAGTTTTGTTTTGTTTTTTTTTAATACGTGGCCCAGGTTGTTTTAAACACAACGTTTCATACAATACACTCAGATCTTAAAAATAAGAGTTTTATAAGACAATAATTTAATTTTGCTAATAAATTATTTCCCATAAAGTTTTTTGTAAGCATAGGCCATGTTTTTTCTGCTGCTATGGTAGACACATTAATGCATGTGCTTAAGTACTTGGAAGTTATTTGTTTCTTCATAAATAAGAAATAAAAAATTTCTGAAAGACATTCATGTTTCAAAAGAACCAAAATTTTTAATTGTGTGCACTGAAAAAAAGCCAAAATTTTATTTGCCTTCTTTCCATAGGGACTTGGAAAAGAACAAAACAAACCCAAAAGATTTATTACGTGTGCCTTAATATGAAATTATCCTCCTATAAAAATAAATGTTTTGAAAACATTTTAGTGGGGGACTATAATATTTTCTTTAACATTTTGATACAGCTGAAGAAAAGGGTAACAGTTCAGTTCTCTAGGAAGAGATAAATTACAGCCTTCTATCACTGTGCATCATCACTGGTAGATGCTGATAAAAAATACTTTATAATATAGGTGAAAGGCCATTCAGTGGTCTTTGGAACAAGACTTCTAACTCTGTCTACCCAGAAAACTCAGTTCTAAATAAGCAAAGGATCTTTCCACAAAGGAACAAAAAGCATTCTTTGTCCATATATTGCTTTTCTCTACTTTCAGCCAAAGACAGTATTTTTCCCCCATACAGTGAATGGTTCACTTGCCAAGGTTTACTCCCAGTTGGTACTAACCTTATGAGAACACTCAGTGCACCCAGTGGGGTAACTAAGGTTGCAGGTGCAAAGGCATAGGCAGCAAAGTTTGCAGCTTCTCCTAATCCCACTGTAGAAGAAAGAACATTTGGATCAGCTTAGGAGGGGAGTGGGATATAAAAGGCATACTACTGTAAATATTTTGTATGACAGCTATGATAGCAAATATAAAACAACAAAATATAATTCCACACTATATGTGCAAATTTTCATTTCAGAATTAGCTACACAACCTCTTCTGGAAATAATAAAGGCTGAAGAAAGTTAAATACTTTTCTCCTAAGTACTTTTAGAAGGACACATGCAATCCCATTGCTTTTGACAGGAAAATAAAGAAAAGGTGGTTATTCTGCAAAAAGCTCCAAAGACAAAATGCAGTATTTGAGTGAACGGCTCAAATCAGAACGGTTTGTCTTGAACATGATTGCAAGGACACTTCTTTTAAGTGAACGGAATGAAAAATCAAGGAATAAATCTCTTTAAAACCATCTCCTTTATGTAGCATTTACATATAGGCTGAGAGAAAAAAAGTTGACTTACTTGATAGCAGTCCAGCCCACCAAAGCCATTCTTTCAAATAAGAATATCCACCTTGTCCTGAAAGCAGAAAAAAATAACCTCATCTTAGAAGAAAGAGATCACCTTATTATAATAAAGAAAAGTACAACTTCACATTTGCACCTACAAAGTATTGAAAGAGCCTGTTATCTGGAACAGTATATTGCAATAAACACAACAAACAAAAATGACCCTGCTAATGCTATGTATTTAAACCCATGTAAAGGGAATTATGAGATTAGTCCAATTGTTCTTTTTCTAGCTCTTCATCTGTTGACTTTGATGAAGGAATAGTTGTACTAACTGTAGAAACTCATCTAATAAATATCCTTTCTACAGGTTGTTGCACTTAAAAAAAAAACCCAACCCAAACCAAAAGCACAAAAACCCCCCCACTAAACCTAGTTACTATCTTAAGATTTTTCATCTCCAATGAGGGGGAAAAAAAGATGGGGAAAAAAAAAGAAGAAAAAGACATTTTGAAGGGCAAGATGAATGGAGTATTTTATTTGGTAACTAACTATTGTCAGTGAGGAAATATCATCAGCTCACTGGATTGAATACACACTGCAGCTCCCATAACCCTAGGAGTTCTGAAATACCAGTCTCTGTAATCACACACATAAATACTTTATCTCCATCCCTCATCAAGACAGGATTTCTGATCACTATTCCAACGCAACAGTTTCAAACATGTATTCTGTGATTCAAACCTTGATTTTGTGTTTCGGTTTTTGTGTCCCCAGCAGGAGCAACACAGGCACCGCCACTTACCAGCTCGGGTGACACCTCTGTCTGCCAGTTTCAAAAGTCCTTTCTTCTTCAGTATGAAACTAGAACCAATAAAGATACTGGAACCTATCGCCAAAGCCAAGCCAATGTAGAGGTGATATTTACTTCCAGTAGGCATGGAAATGCTCCAGCCTGTTTCATTGACAGTCCCTTCCATAGACATAAGGAAAGGCGAGTGCGATTCAGACACGTTGATGATCTGGCACCATGGTTGGCACGAGTCACGGCAAGCAACAGAGAGCACAGCGCCTGGGAGGAGAAAAAAGATGACAAGTGATTCATGATCCAGGCACAACACTGGAAGAGCCCAGATCTCACTGCACACTCTTTCCATGTCTTGCCAGAGCACTTGCGCTAACTGTGCAAATAACACATAAAATCGACCTAACGTACACAATGCTGCCCTGAGTCATTACCCAAACCTGTAGTTCACAGGTGCACACATTATTTGACACAGATATTTTGCACTTCATTGGCTCAGTCAATCAAATAGGGCAATACCAAGGAATGCAACAATATGATCTTCAATGTAAAATTCTACTTAAAATCTTAAAAGCTAACCTGAAACCTCAAGATTTTGTGTTGTGCAGAGACCACATTCCCCAAACACAAACATATAGTTAAATCCATTATTTTGGACTTTGCCTGTTAAAGTAAGCCTCCAGTTATTCCAGGTTTTTGCTTTTACTTTTGTGGCTGAGGTTGAAAACAACAAACAAACATACTAAACAAACAAGGAAAAAAAGATGAAAAATCTATACAGGGAGCAAACTCCAAGTGTATATGCATTTTATTAAAACTGTTCCATGAGTACTGTGTGAGCCAGATCTTTTTTAATCCATCCAACTTTTCAGGTGACGACCTCATTGCACATCACAGCAATTTTCCTCAACAGGAAACAACCTCAACATGCCCCGTCTGGAGGGAGATCACAGCTCCACAAGGGACAGTCCCCTCAGCTATCCCTGCAACAGAACTGCCGAGCCAGATGGTCCCAAGTTGAGACTGAAGCTTCACACTCTCAGCCAGCCAAGCATTATCAGCATCACCGTGATGACAGTCTGTGGGAATGACGTCATTGTTGTCAGCTTAGATGTGTTTTTAAAGGAAGAAGAGGTATTGCATTTCCAAGAACAAAAGGAGGCATTATTTTGCCTGGGGAAGCAGGGGACAGGCAGCAAAGCTGCAACAGGGCTGATGACAGTCTAGGCTGATGTCTCCCAGTTTCTCACAGTAGAGTGCATCACACAGCCAGTGTGGATTAGAGAACGCAGACTGGAATAGCTTTTAAGGACAACTTATTTGGAGAAAAAAGGGTTATTGTGAGGACATATTAAAATATGAAACAGCTGATGCAGGAGTACAAAAGCTCAGTCCACTGTGATTCATATAAAGCACTGGATGCAACAAGTAATTTTGCTTTCCATGTTTTCCCTGTAATTAAAATGACACATGAAGGATTCATCCTGCTGAGTGGCACTACCAGTAATACCTTCCCCCCCCCCCAACGATAAAAAAACACTTGAGGACTTGGTTGTCTGTTCATATCTAAGCTCTGGAAGTATTACTGTTATGTCAAAAGTACTTCACTGAAAAATTAGCAATAAGAAGCCTTGGATAATTCATCTAATACTGTTTAGCAAGGAATATTTAAAATATTAAAGGTCTTAAAAACAGCATATCTTCATTTGCAGTTGGAAATCTGGATATTGACACTGGGAGATACCACCCTTTACAAGTAAGGAAGCAGAATGAGTATCTGCTCTCAGTTCTCCCGTGCCATACTGTCCAACAAACATACTACAGGAAGTTATCCTTTGATTTGCAAGCTTTGCAATCACACTTCCTTGTTTGCCAAGAGAGTTTCTATATAGCAGGAGTTGTTTTGTATTACTAAGTCTGACTTCATAAAAATGGTCCCACAAGATGGGTATGTTCATATCCTGCAGCTGAAGATTAAAATCTTAAAAGAGCTTAGATTAACGTGCAATTACTTTTGCATAGTATGTAAGATAAATACTATTCTGCCATCTTATCATTATTAGAAATTGCAATTGGATAACATAAAAGAAATGGAATTTGCATCTGCACCTGGAAGTAGTTTAAAATTCTAAAGTATTACCACAGTCTTAGGAGAAGAAAAATTTGCATATATTTAGGTTTTGACATAATTAATAAAGAATAAATCACAGAAGAAAACTGTAGATGAGTCCTTTAAGCATAAATATATTTTCCCTCAGCTAACATATATTGGGGCAAGACAAAAATGTCCCTGCTCATGGCAGGGGGGTTGGACTAGATGACCTTTAAAGGTCCATTACAATCTAAACTATTCTATGATTCTGGGAAAAAAAAAAGCAGAGTGGTTGTCAGTGAATGAAATCCCTTATCTCCCAATATTTATAATGATGCTAAACCAAACTGGTGTGAGAAGCAGAACATTCAGAGAATCACAGAATAAAGGTTGGAAAAGGCCTCTGAGATCATGGAGTAACAACCTATGACCCAACACCACCTTGTCAACTAGACCATGGCACCAAGTGCCACATCCAGTCTTTCCTTAAACACTTCCAGGGACGGTGACAGCTGCACCTCCCTGGGCAGCCCATTTCAATGCCCAATTACTCCTTCTGTGAAGGACTTCTTCCTAATGTTCAACCTAAACCTGAGAAGAGTAATTTTGAATGGTTATAATCTCCGCTTATTGTGCTAAGCAGCTTTTCCTAGTTTTAAAAAACAAGTAATTTGTTCCACTTGCATGTAAAGTGCTATGTCACTGTGCTGATCAAAGAACGACCTGAGAGATGGGTAAAGGGGGCTGATCCAGGAATTACTATTACTTTATTGCCGACTGCAAACAGTCTGAGGATCACTTGGAAAGGCTGAAAGCTGCTGAGGCTGTCTGCCTTGTTCGACACACAGTCTCTGTAGTTAAGGTAGTTTAACCTCCCACTCCCAAACATGAACCTGTCAACAGAACTCCTCCTTGCAGAAATAAACTCTCCCAGCTCTGACTCAAGGCTGATAGCAACAGGAAACCAACCAGACTTCAGGCAGCCACCACTGGAACTTCTAAACTGTTTTTATGATTGACCTACATCTGATTTTTTTTTTTTCCCAAACACCTGAATAGTCTCTATCTAAACTGGCAGAATAGCCAGATTGGTGCTACACACTTCTTGTGGCAAGTCTAACTTGCTGTTGTTCTACAGCAAGTCTAGGGTGAGGTACCCTGCAGTTCATTAACGACAGCAAACTTGGCTTTTAACTCAACATTGAAGACACTGGTCTCAAATCATCTAGAAAACTAATTGCTTTGACTAGATGCATAATTTGACCATTTCTATGGAGCTCACGAGTCAGATCATCCCTGGCAGAAACACAAAATGCCCTTCTCAGTCACCTAGAAAATACAAAGTCCACCTTTGCCAAGGTCTGTCTCCTGGGGGCCAAAAGTGAGTGTACCGAGAAGCAGCAAGGAATTCTTTCCTGGCACACCTCCACTGACAAAAATGTGTCAAAAAAAAAAAAAAAAAAAGGCAAAAAGCTGAAAAAAGGCTTAGACACGAGGCAGCCACGGCAGCAGCTCAGGAGCCTCCGCGGCGCCGGCAGCTCCTCGCTCTCCGGAAAACACCTGTGTGACGTGAAGGCGGAGGGAAGTGTTACGTGTTCAGGAGTCACGATCCCGCGGCCGCGGGGGCAGCGGGGGGGCTGCAAGAGCAGCACCTGGCACGGTGCACACACCGCGCCCTCACCTCCGCCCACCGCCGCGTCCCCCCCGCGCAGACCCCGCGCAATCCTGGCTGCCCAGCGCCACCCCCTCGCAGACAGCCCGCACCGCACCGCACCGCCTGCCCGCACCGCACCGCCCCGCACAGCGCCGCGGCTGCCCCGGCTGCCCCTCCGCGCCCGCACCGGCACCGGCACTGACCTGCGCGGCAGGACGGGCGAGCGGGCAGCGCCTCTCGGTGCCCCACGGCTGCGGGGCAGCCCCTCCGCCGGCTCCGCTGCGGCGGCTCCGCCCGCCCGGGCGCGGCCCGGCACACCCGGGCGCGCCCCTCGGCCGGACCGCGGCCACGCCGTGGGCGCTGCGGGCGGAGGCGGCATTCCAGCCGCTCCTCCGCACCTGTCCTAGGGGGCGACAGTCACTCTAGGAGCGACCAGGACTTTATAAATCGTTATAAATGGGCTTTATAAATCGTTACAAATGAGCTTTATAAATCGTTATCAAGTCCCAGTTCTCACCTGTGGAGTCCCGCGGCCCCACCTGAACACTGAATTCGTGGGAGAGAGCTCTGTCCTGGGGTACCTTGGCAGCGTTTGTGTCTAATGGGAGATTTTATAGATTTGATTTTCAGCCCCTTCGCACCTGGGAGGAGAGGTGATCAGTCTCGATGAGCAACCACGTATGTGTGGGACAGGCTGCCAGCGCTCGCTTCGGCCAGTCAGAGGGATCCCCTGGCCAAACTATGCTAGTGTCACACAACTAGGGCAGTGCCTGATGATGCATACGCTAAGATGACTCCCTGTGGCTGAACAGGCTCCAGGGTGTCATAAGAAACAATTATCTTTATTACCCAATCAATAGTTTCAAGGTAGAAGTGTAACCTGATTAAGTGAAATACATTTACAAAATGTATGGCTTACTAAAACATTATATGCTGCCCAGCGACGTTCCTGGGCAGTCTGAGGACCTTTAGCATGGACAAGGACTTCCTGAACTGGAGGAAAACAGTCGAAAATGTAACACATCTCTACAGAGCACCACAGAGACATGCTGACTTGAGACTGACAGAGTTGTAACCATGCTTTGTGGCGCAGCACCAAAACTAATCGTTGTTGGGTTTGAACTGTTTTACCACTGTGCAGACTGCTGAAAAATGGTGGCAGTGTCAGCAAAACCTTTTCTTGCCTTAGGCGTCCTTGACTTTGCAGTCCTGGGGTTGAACACAAGAGATCAGTTTCAGTCTTAATCTTATTTTTTATTTCTGTATTTATTTTTTAGCACAACAGTGCTCTGTATGTTATGAGAAAAGGGACACTGCATTTATCCAAGTCAATGGACAGATATAAAGAACTTGCATTCTATAATATAATTACAGAATGGAGTGGATATACTTCCTGTGTGTATACTTCACATACTCATACTCAGCTTGTTTTGAAGAACTTTGAGACAATGTCAGGAAGAAAGAAACTACATAAAAGTAAT